AGCATTCTTAACAACCATGTCACTCATTCATAAGTGTGAGGACCAGTCAAAAGTGCGAGGACCTGTAAGAAATGATTTTTTTCAGCCCTCGGACTAGTCCCTATACACATAGCCATGGCCACCCGCTCACATGACCAGCTAGCCACACCCACCCAGTCACATGACCTCCAAGCCACGCCCACAACGGTGTCCCTCTTTACTAATGTTAAAATCTGGTCACCTTAATCTAAGAGGTCGTGTGGATGGGGAAATGTTGAAAAAAAAAAAGAGATTCGCAAATATTTAAGCACCACTCTGGATGACGTTACATTCGCCTCCTTTGCCAAACACTTTACAGTTTCAACATTTCAACAGAAATGATTATTCTGAAACCGTTTCCATGATTTGGCAAGTTTCTTGTTTGCCTGACCTCTTTTCCTCCAGGTTAAAATCTCCAAAAAGTTAATTCAAAACCTACAACTAGCCCATTTTCAAACCCAGAAAAAAAAAGTGGGGGGGACGGGAAGAGCTGACAAATCCACCCTCTCTGTCCTTTTGGAACCTTCTGGAACTTTTTCAAATTTAATCCGGGAATAGAAGACTCTTACAACATGGAAAATAGGGCTAGAGAGGGACCTTAGAGGTCTTCTAGACCAACCCCCTGGTAAAAGATCACATATATGACCCCCCCGTCCTTCGGGCCCAGTCTGGTCCGTCTCCTACATCCTTCTGTTCAATATACCGTTTCCAGACAAATGGTTATCCAGTCTCTTCTTAAAAGCCAGTGATGGAGCACCAACAATTTCTGGAGGCAAGGAGTTCCACTGGTTAATTGTTCTCACTGTCAGGGAATTTCTCCTTAGTTCCAGGTTGATTATTTTCCATCCGTTGCGTCTTTTTCCTGCCTTCTGGTGCTTTGGAGAATAGCTTAACCCCCTCTTCTTCCTCAAATATTGGAAGACCGTTATCATGTTACCCCTAGTCCTTAAGAGAATAACAGAGTTGGAAGGGACCTTGGAGGTCTTCTAGTCCAACCCCCTGCTTAGGCAGGAAACCCTACACCACTTCAGACAAACGGCTGTCCAGTCTCTTCTTAAAAATGTCCAGTGTTGGAGCATTCACAATTTCTGGTGGCAAGTAGTTCCACTGGCTAATTGTTCTCACTGTCAGGAAATTTCTCCTTAGTTCCAAGTTGTTTCTCTCCTTGATTAATTTCCATCCATCGCTTCTTGTTCTACCCTCAGGTGCTTTGGAGAATAGCTTGACTCCCTCTTCTTTGGGGCAGCCCCTGAGATATTGGAATGCTGTTATCATGTCACCCCCTAATACTTCTCTTTATTAGACTGGAGGTACAGGTATTCTTCAACATTCAAAGGATTCGTTTAGTGACCGTTCAAAGTTACAATGGCACGGTGCTGTTGCAACTTTGAATGGTCACAAAATGAACGGTGGTGAGACCAGGGCTACACCTAACTACTACGTAGTCCTCAACTTACAACCAGAACTGAGTCCCCAAGATTTATGTTGCGAAGTAAGACATTTGTTAAGTGAGTGTTGCCTCGTTTTACAACTTTTTTTTGCCACGGTCATTAAGTGAATCACTACAGCTGTTAAGTTAGTAACACTGTTGTTAATGAATCTGGCTTCCCCGTTGACTTGGCTGGTCAGTAGGTCACAAAAGGGGATCATATCAGTGGTCAAATCCTCCGCGGATTGCCACCGGTGCATGTGGTGTGCGCCAAAAGCACAGTGCGTACATGCAGGCGCAGTGCACGCCAAACACATGCTGCACATCCATGCACAGTACGTGCCAAACGCGCGCTTCGTGCAGAAAAAGGAGGCTTAACAAGATAAGTAGAACAGTGATGCGGGGGATCAGCTGTGCCGCGTGATTTATATTCGCTAGGAAGCAGGAAATCCTGCTTTCCAGCAAATCTAAATCGCGCGGCACAGCTGTTGGTCGGAAATACCGCTTCAGATGAACCAGTAGCTTTTTTTACTACCAGTTCGCCGAACCGGTAGATTTTATCACTACCGATTCGCCCGAACCGATGCAAACCGGTAGCATTTCACCCCAGGATCATATGACCCTATGACACTGCAACCGTCATACATATGAACACATTATCAAGCATCTGAATGTAAATAAATCAATGTGACTATGTGATTTATCTTAAATACTAAATAAACTGTTTACATACATGCATACACACATACATAGATACATACTAAATAAACTGTTACACACACACACACACACACACACATATATACACATACATATACAAAAAGAAAGAAGCAGACATCCTGCGAGCTCCGGAACTTAAAATTTTAAAAGAATTAAAATTTTATTTAACTAAGCTTTCATCAGCCATCTGCTGACATCGTCAGGGTATTAAACTACCATTACAGAGATTTCTGCCTTTACACATGCAAGGGCCAAATTGATTAATGGCATATAAAGGCAGAGATCTCTGTAATGGTAGCTTAATACTCTGACGATGACAGCAGATGGCTGACGAAAGCTTAGTAAAATAAAATTTTAATTCTTTTAAAATTTTAAGTTCCGGAGCTCGCAGGATGTCTGCTTCTTTCTTTACTAATATACCTGGAATATATATATACACACGTGCGTGTGTATGATAAACTGAATAGTTTATTCAGTATTTAGTATATACCGGTCTACGCAGACACACACATACAGAGGTATGTACTAAATATATACAAGTATATATTAAATATATTACAAACTATTCTAAAAATACGAGTTCCAGGTATATTTGTAAAGAAAGAAGCAGACATTCTGCGAACTCCGGAACTAAAATAATTACAATTTTATTCTACTAAGCTTTCGTCAGCCATCTGCTAACATGGTCAGAGTATTAAACCATCGCAAACTGGTAGTAAAGGAAAGTAGAACCCACCCCTGTGTCATACAATATATATATATATAAAACCACTGATCGGGTTGGTGATCCGAATCGCATCCAAAAGACCGATTTCTTTTCTTTGTGAGCTTAGACCCGGCATAATTTTCCACTCAGCTGCTAAAAATGCCTGCCCTGTGGTCATCGCGCACTCTTTCCTTGATGCTATCAGCTGCCCTCAAATAGCCCTGCCAGAAGCCGCTTGCGAACTCTGCACACGCCAACGTTGCTCTTTTTTTGCGAGCGATGCACAAAATGTGAAGGTTTGTTTGCAGAACAAAGCCAGCTGCGTGTGGGTCAGAATAACAAGCGTTGGGAAGGGACCTGGGAGGTCTTCTAGTCCAGCCCCCTGCTCAGGCAGGAAACCCTACCCCGTTTCAGACAAATGGCTGTCCAGTCTCTTCTTAAAAACTCCCAGTGTTGGAGCATTCACAACTTCTGGAGGCAAGTAGTTCCATTGGTTAATTGTTCTGACTGTCAGGAAATTTCTCCTTAGTTCTAAGTTGCTTCTCTCCTTAGTTTCCATCCGTTGCTTTTGTCCTGCCTTCAGGTGCTTTGGAGAATAGCTTGACTCCCTCTTCTTTGGGGCAGCCCCTGAGATATTGGAAGACTGCTATCATGTCTCCCCTAGTCCTTCTCGTCATTAAACTAGACATACCCAGTTCCTGCATCCGTTTTTCATATGTTTTAGCCTCCAGTCCCCTCATCCTCTTGGTTGCTCTTCTCTGCACTCTTTCCAGAGTATACACACTGAACCAAATTTTTCAATTTAATAACTCTATTGTTTCAATGTTTTCTTTTGCAATTTATTCAATGTCTGTAAGCCACCTTTGGTGAGATGGGTGCAGTGGTGAAATCTAATTTTTTTTCCTACCGGTTCTGTGGGCGTGGCTTGGTGGTGGTGGGATCATGTGACTGGGTAGCAGTGGCTATGTAGTCATGTGACTGGAGGGTTTCAAAAGACAGAAACTCACTGGACCAGCGGGTTGGACTAGATGACCTTCGCGTCCCTTCCAGCTCTGGATTGATTGCTGTGCTCTTTCAAGGTATCCTCTGAAGCTGCGTCTAGTGCCTCCCTCTCTCTCTCTCTCTCTCTCTCTCTCTCTTTCTTTCTCTCTCTCTCTTTCCTTCTTTCTTTCTTTCACATCACCCCTTCTGGGAGCAAAACCGGACCCCTAATAGGTAGTAAAAAATGCTTTGATAAGTAAAAAAAAGTTCCGAGGATTGCACACAACAGCTGATTGTCACAGCTGATTGTCGGAATCATTTTTTATTTTTTTTTAGCATTTTTTTACTACCTATTGCCCGAACGAGTAGTAAAAAAATGCTAAAAAAAGTAAAAAAAAAAAAAAAAAGTTCAGCTGTGCCGGCGATCGTGGGAACTTTTTAAAGCATTTTTTTTACTACCGGTTCGGGCGAACCGCCTCAAACCGGTAGCATTTCACCCCTGGATGGGTGACATAGTTTGATAAATAAATAAATACAGGTAGTCCTCAAATTACAAGCATCCCTTTAGTGACCATTCAGTCACAATGGCATTGCAAAAAGTGACCTATGACCGTTTTTCACACTTACGACCGTTGCAGAGTCCCCGTGGACACGTGATCGAAATTCAGACGCTTGGCCACTGACTCATATTTATGACGGTTGCAGTGTCCCTGGGGTGACAAGCCAAGTCAACCCGGAAGCCTGATTCACTTAACAACCGCCTGGCTCACTCAACAACTGCAGTGACTCGCTTAACAACCGTGGTGGGAAAGGTCGTAAAATGGGGCAAAAGTCACTTTGCGATTGTCTCGCTAAGCGACAAGACGTTGTGGGCTCAATCGTGGTGGAAAATCAAGATCTTCCTGCAAGTAAAGGTATTTTGAAATTGGGGCTCTGGCTTTAGCCATAAATGGCTAATTATTACCCATTTACGGCCTTGAGGGTACCTGGTGTCATCCTGCCACCTGTCTGAACATCCCATCTGATTTTGTAATGTCCTATCTTGGCAGGTGAGTATCCTGTCCAAAGTCCAAGCAGGATTTCAGATGCCTGGGGGGTTTTTTTTCTCTCTCTCTCTCTTTCTGCAAAGGCCCCATTTTTCATTACCTGCCGTGTACCACATCTTTGCAGCTGAAAATGACAACCAGGCCGGAGAGGGTGGCCATGATAGCTTGGACGGAAGAGACCAGCCTGGAGGAAGAAAGAAAAATTAAAGTCAGAATAAGGGACGTGACCGAGAGGGAAGAGGGGAAGTAGACAGGCAAAAATATGAAATATTTCTGGAGGGAAACGAACGGAAACTTGCAACGGACATAGGGTGTAGGGTTAAACGAACTGGGTATGCTTAGTTCACAGAAAAAAGGAAGAGAAGAGAAGATAGGATAGCAGGCTAGAGTTATCTGGAGCAGTATTTTTCACACTTGGCAACTGAGGGGTGGACTCCAACTCCCAGAATCCCCCAGCCAGCATGCTTTAAGAGGGGTGGACTTCGACTCCCAGAATCCCCCAGCCAGCATGCTTTAAGAGGGGTGGACGTCGACTCCCAGAATCCCCCAGCCAGCATGTGTTGGGATGGGTGGACTTCCACTCCCAGAATCCCCCAGCCAGCATGCCTTAAGAGGGGTGGAATCCAACTCCCAGAATTCCCCAGCCAGCATGCTTGAAAATGGGTGGACTTCAACTCCCAGAATTCCCCAACCAGCACGCTTGAAGATGGGTGGACTCCAACTCCCAGAATTCCCCAGCCAGCATGCTTGAAGATGGGTGGACTTCCACTCCCAGAATTCCCCAGCCAGCCTGCTTTAAGAGAGGTAGATGTCCCTTCCCAGAATCCCCCAGCCAGCATGCTTTAAGAGGGGTGGACTTTGACTCCCAGAATCCCCCAGCAAGCATGCTTTAACATGGGTGGACTCCAACTCCCAGAATCCCCAAGCCAGCATCCTTTAAATTGGGGGGACTTCAACTCCCAGAATTCTTCAGCCAGCAGATATCAAGCTTCAAAAGACGCTTTAGATATCTCTTCTCAGCTTGCCAACAAACTATGGGGGGAGGAAAGGGGAAGGGGTAGATAGAAATTTGGTTCCGGATGTCACGATGCCAGCCATGGGAACCAAGGACACTTCAGCAGGGGTTTACCAAGACTTTACCAGACTTTCTCATAACAATACCAAGAAACTTCATTGGACAATGTGACCTGGTCTTATAGGGGGAAGGAGGACCTGAACTTTTAGCTATGTGGGTCTGCGTGGGAATTAGCTAGATCTGGTTTTGCCCTCATCTGTTCCGATATGATGTAGTCAATAAAGTTTTGCGTTAGAGATTGGATTGGCATGAAAGCTGGCTGGGTGACTTTGGGCCAATCACCAGGAGAAGGTGAGTTCTAGTTCTAGTTCCACCTCAGTCATGAAAAGACGACTGGGTGACTGACAAAGCCTGCCAGATGTTTAAAAAAAACATCCAGAGAGCCTCCATCTGCATGACCACTCTACCTCTCCATATCAATTAACAGGGAAAGCTACCACATTTTATTTATGTAACAAAAGAATGCACGTGGATGAATGAGTAAATCACCAAACCCTCTAAATCACAAAATAGAAAACAAAATTAACATAACCAGAAGAAAAATAAGCTCTGTTTGTGTTTTTGTATCTGGCCGGCTACCGCAAGAACCAGTAAGGACAGAATCATGTTTTCCTCAGCTTGAGTATAACTTGGTTTCCGTCCGAAATAAGCATTTGAGGCAGATTCTGAGGGAATATTCGGAGGGGGGAAAAAAATCACAAGATCAAGGTCAATTTGAGGCAAATTGACAGAAGGACCAGTGACCCAGTCAGGAGATGGACTTTGTTTCTCACTGGTCAGATTTGAGGATGGGATAAATACAGATCTGTCGCAATATTTTAGGACGGTGTTTCTAAATCTTGGCAGGTTTAAGCTGGGTGGATCTCTTTTTTTTTTATTGAGTTTTAAACAGAGATATAAAGACAATACAAAAAATACAAAGACATTACAAAGACAAACAAGTTCCCACCACCAACCTACCCACACCAAGCTTTACATATATGTTTTGATCATCATCAGAATGTATATTGCTTTATAAGTTAATATATAAGTAATACTTTGTCAATTTGGATGTTTTAGATTGGAAATAATCTTGCATCTCCTCTTAATTTATTTATTTCCGGTTTTATTTTTTCTACCCTATTTTCTTTCATTTATATTTGTACTGATTTTCTTTTCTAGCCATTGATACCACTGGTGCCATACAAGATAGAATTCACTTTAAGCTGGGTGGATCTCAATTGCCAAAATCCCCCAGCCAGCCTGCTTTAAGATGGGTGGACTTCCACTCCCAGAATTCCCCAGTGTGTCTGGTTTAAGAGGGGTGGCCTTCAACTCCCAGAATTCCCCATTCAGCATGCTTTAAGATGGGGGGAACTTCAACTCCCAGAATTCCCCATTCAGCATGCTTTAAGATGGGGGGACTTCAACTCCCAGAATTCCCCATTCAGCATGCTTTAAGATGGGTGGACTTCCACTCCCAGAATTCCCCATTCAGCATGCTTTAAGATGGGGGGACTCCCACTCCCAGAATTCCCCATTCAGCATGCTTTAAGATGGGGGGACTTCACTCCCAGAATTCCCCATTCAGCATGCTTTAAGATGGGGGGACTTCAACTCCCAGAATTCCCCAAGCCTGCTTTAAGGTGGGGTGAAATCCAGCAGGTTCTGACAGGTTCTGGAGAACTGGTAGTGGAAATTTTGAATAGTTCGGAGAACCGGCAAATACCACCTCTGGCTGGCCCCAGAGTGGGGTGGGAATGGAGATTTTGCAATATCCTTCCCCCAGGAGTGGGGTGGGAATGGAGATTTTGCAGTATCCTTCTCCTGCCACGCCCACTAAGCCCCACCACGCCCACCAAGCCACGCCCACAGGTAGTAAAAAAAAAATTGGATTTCACCACTGCCTTCAACCCCCAGAATTCCCCAGCCAGTATGCTTTAAGAGAGCTGGACTTCTACTCCCAGAATCCCCCAGCCATTTATTTACAAATGGTTAAACGTATTTCCAAAACAAGCCAGAATGCAAGAAATGCAAAATGAAGGTGACAGAGGAAAAATAAAAACCCAGAGAGGAAAAAGGAAGGTCCTCCCCAGGAGCGGGGATGGGCTAGATGACCTCAAGAGAACCCTTCCAACTCCTCCTTCATTCGAGGGGGGATCTGCAGTTGGCTGAGCCCGTTTATTCAAGGAAAGCAACACAGCCTGTCTTTGTCAGGCGACCCACTTTCGACTTCACGCCGCTGAGTTTCAAAGGCCTTAAATCCCCAAATCCTTCCCTTTCCCGCGCCCCAAACATTAAAAAGAGCAAGGAAAGAAGAAAGAAAAAAAAACAGCTTAAAAATTGCAAATCACGTCTAAAATTCACATGGCAGAGGCAGTCCTCGACTTACGACCACAGCCGAGCCCCCAAATTTCCATGGCTGAGCGAGACAATGATTGAGTGAGGTCTTGTCCCGTTTTACGACCTTCTCTTGCCACAGGCGTTAAACGAATCACTGCGGGTGTGAAGTCAGTCACACCGTTGTTAAACGAATCTGGCTCTCCCCCCCCCCCCCCCCCCCCCCCCCCGCTTGGGGGGGCCGCAAGAGGGCCACACAAGCCCCCCCCCCCCCCCCCCCCCCCCCCCCCGGGGACACTGCAACCATCATAAATATGATTCAGTTGCCAAGCGACTGAATTTATGGTCACGCGACTACGGGAATGCTGTAAGTGCGAAAAATGGTCACAAGTCTGTTTTTTTCAGCGCCATTGTAACTTCGAACGGTCGCTAAACGATTTTGTAAGTCAAGAACGGCCTATTTGAAGGAGATCTCTCAAAAGTACAGGTCCTCCTTGCGTTACAACCGTTTGGAAGTTACAACCAACCCTGAAAAAGTTACTTATGATCCTGATTCAAAGTTTCCCCCTTGCTTTACCCGTGTTCGTATGGCCACATTTTAGGCACTCGGCAATCAGCGTAAACCAGCATTTAGGGCAGTTGGTGGCATTGCACCTTTTTTTCTTTTAAAAGCCTCTGACGATCTAAGCTGAGTTGCCTGATATTCAGAGGCATTTAAAAGAAAAAAAGCCTCTGCCGATCAGGCAACTCAGCTGGGATCGTCAGAGGCATTTAAAAGAAAAAAAGCCTCTGCCGATCAGGCAACTCAGCTGGGATCATCAGAGGCATTTAAAAGAAAAAAGCCTCTGAAGATCAGGCAACTCAGCTGGGATCGTCAGAGGCTTTTAAAAGAAAAAAAAGCCTCTGACGATCAGGCAACTCAGCTGGGATCGTCAGAGGCATTTAAAAGAAAAAAAGCCTCTGCCGATCAGGCAACTCACTGGGATCGTCAGAGGCTTTTAAAAGAAAAAAAGCCTCTGACGATCAGGCAACTCAGCTGGGATCGTCAGAGGCTTTTAAAAGAAAAAAAGCCTCTGCCGATCAGGCAACTCACTGGGATCGTCAGAGGCTTTTAAAAGAAAAAAAGCCTCTGCCGATCAGGCAACTCACTGGGATCGTCAGAGGCTTTTAAAAGAAAAAAGCCTCTGAAGATCAGGCAACTCAGCTGGGATCGTCAGAGGCTTTTAAAAGAAAAAAAAGCCTCTGACGATCAGGCAACTCAGCTGGGATCGTCAGAGGCATTTAAAAGAAAAAAAGCCTCTGACGATCAGGCAACTCAGCTGGGATCGTCAGAGGCTTTTAAAAGAAAAAAGCCTCTGAAGATCAGGCAACTCAGCTGGGATCGTCAGAGGCTTTTAAAAGAAAAAAAAGCCTCTGACGATCAGGCAACTCAGCTGGGATCGTCAGAGGCATTTAAAAGAAAAAAAGCCTCTGCCGATCAGGCAACTCACTGGGATCGTCAGAGGCTTTTAAAAGAAAAAAAGCCTCTGACGATCAGGCAACTCAGCTGGGATCGTCAGAGGCTTTTAAAAGAAAAAAAAGCCTCTGACGATCAGGCAACTCACTGGGATCGTCAGAGGCATTTAAAAGAAAAAAAGCCTCTGAAGATCAGGCAACTCAGCTGGGATCGTCAGAGCCTTTTGAAAGCATTTATTTACAACCTCTTCGCCGAAGAAGTTGTCGAAAAAATGGTTTTAAAAGTAAAAAAAAAAAATTGGCCACGCCTACCCAGTCACATTACCCCCACCGCC